ACCTACACAAAAATGAGCACTTAACCCTTGCAGTGCAGGGTTAAGCACAGTTTTGTCCGGAGTTCTGCTTTTACTGCTGGAGAGAAAAGTAAGGTCTACGCCCTGGCTGCGCTGTCTGACAGGTGTGCTCAATTCTCAGGACTTGCTGCACAAAATGAGAAATTATGCACTCCACAATCTTCTATTTGATGAAAATGCATATGGCAGTTCACCCGTAACTATATTTTCTATCCTCAGTTCTCTTTCTGCAATATATAAACATACTGTATACTAACACTTTTAGACCAAGATCCCTTTCTTTTTTGTGCATATATTGTTATTTCTGTTTTTGTTATAATGTTGACCACTATAGGTATGTCCAAATGCATGAATCCTACATGCTTCATGTGAAGTATTGATGGCTGTGTAGAAGAGGCAAGCAATTTAGGAAGTTAAGATATATGAACCTATATAGTTCATATTATTCAGACCGCTATTATATGAACTCCTCTATGATTCTACCTGTTTATAATACATTGGAGGCTCACCACACAGTGTTCATTTTTAATGTAATATGGAGTGTTTTACACTCGTTTTCTTGTGTGGAGCATCAAAGGCTGGGAGACTGTCCCCTAGACAGATGCTTGCAGGCTGCTGTTTATAATATATGCCCACTCCATGTCTAGCAGACACATTGTGCGTGAATCTGGCACAGCAATGACAACATAAAAATGTAAATCACAGTTATCAGGGACTTCTCCTTTGAAAGGCACCACATGTTCTAGCCTACCTTTAGATATACCTTCCCTTTCAATAGGATGGAACAGTGTTTACTTTGAATCAAGCAGGAATAAAACACAATAAAAACAGCATAATAATGCACAGGGAGCCGCAGCAGACTGCAAACCCCCTGAAATGCGCAAGTGGCGTGTGATGATAGTAAAAGTGCAGGGCTGGTGTCATTAAATATAATAGTGTTTGCGTGCAAAGTGCTTTTGTCAGATATCTCTTTCAGATTTAGGTGGATATCTATTTTCTTGATAAAAATCCCCTGGAGGAAGAGCTCAGACAGAATATGTACCGGCTGTCAGGCTAAAACAGCAAATTATGCACTTTTTACTGACTTTCCCTTCATGCTGCTTGGCTGCCAAATATATTTTGTTTCTGTTTACATTATAAAAGGCCTTCCCCTGCACTCTGTATTGCTGCTGCTGACTTGAAAAGGGTCATATTGTATTCAGGAGTATCACAAGCTTGAAATCAAGAACAATTAGAGGGAAGATGAGACTTTCTGTGTGATGAGCCAGCACATTGGAACGTACAGAACCTCTAATACACCACATGTCAAAGCAGAACTCTGCTGCGCTTGGCAAATGTAGACAATGGTGTCCTGTTTTTGCATATGCAAGCATTTCACCTGGTACTTGAAAGAACATAGATTTCAAGCAAAGTGGCATATCTTGTGGCTAGTATGATATGTGTATAAGCTGAGCATATAGCAATCTGCTAAAAATGTTTGTATCTGTTTTCTAACAGAACAGGGTATATGCCTATTTCCCACTGACCTTGTATAGGTAGAACTATTCAACTTAACCCTTTGCCACCACCTCCTGCTAGCCCTTTAACTGAGTCTTAACTGTGTAAGGTGGAATTCTGATGAAGTGACTGCTGCAATTGGCTGTCACAGCTGTCAGATAATTGGGAGTCCAATTAGCTACAGTCACTGTTTCCCTTCATTTACGTTGACCAGGACAGCTGGTCTGTGACAGCTCGGTCAGCATACAACAGCGGGGCCCCATGGACGCATATATGTGGCAGTCAGGCGTTGGGGCCAACCCGCCATGCTGCCACATATATGTGTCATACCAAGGGGAAGAGGTTAAGTTGCATCATTTTAACTGTTCCTAAAAGTCTATATAAAGTCTATATACGTGCAAATCTTAGTAAGCTAAGCGTGAAGTCCATCACAGGAGCGAGCTTGGAGCGATGGCTACTTTACAACACACACAGGGACAATGGGGAACAAAAGTAGCCACCCTTCAGAAGGAAGGACAGTGTTATGATGAATTCAGAGATGATCTACAGTTGAGTGATACAAAAATAAACTAAATTTTTGTAATTAGTTAGGGTAGTTGAATGTATTTTTAAGGTTTAACTCCTGAGTTTAGTGTCAATTTAAGCTTTAAGTTTCATAAAATAAGATTTTCAGAAAATATGAGGCTCTCCACCATTTTCTAAAAATGTTTTAGAAAATGGTAATCAATAAAAGCAATTATTTGTAAAAATATGCAAGGACAACCACTGTGTGGACAGGCATTGGTCCAGCTGCAATCTGAAAATAAATTTACTCCATAATATAGATCCATGACTTGATATGCACTCAAAAGATCAGATGGTTCTGCTAACAAGGTGCATGATGCATGATCAACGGAGCTGAAGGTTTGGTGTATACACATTTGTGAATTCCCATTGATTTTCAGACTTTATCCAGCCTTACTCAGCAATCGTATAATTAAAAAAATAAAAATAAACTGCAGTCCCTGAGTTTCAGGCAAGGTAATGATTACAAATAAAAAAATTACCGGTAGAGTAGTCCGGTCACATCACCTGTCATTGGCTCCTACCTCAATCAGGGGGTTCTCTCTGGGATGTAAGCAGAGAGAACTTTGTAGGACACTGCAGACTCCACACCAAGGCCTGTATTTTATGAATGAGTCATAAATAATAGAGCTAGAGTACAGCAAATACTGTGGTGTCCAGCAGAGAGCGCACAGCAGTATTCACTGCCTGCTATATGTATGCCTTTGTTACAAAAGTAGCACATTAATTAGCATGCATGCACTTGCCATTAAAAATACATCTACTTTATCTTTACTCATTAACACCATTACTGAAAAAAATATGAAGAAGGTTCCTAATTTTCAATACTGACTGGAAAGGTACCAACTGATTGGCGCAAAGTGACGGTAATACCTATTTTGCAGGGTAATAAACTTGAGATTAGACATAGTAGAGACAAAGATCACCATCACTCAGCGATATCTTTCAATATGTCCATTTAATTGGACAAAGCGTCACAGTAACAAAAGCCAACGTTTCGGGGCCACACAGGGGGAAGGGAACCTGTGTGGCCCCGAAACGTTGGCTTTTGTTACTGTGACGCTTAAGCCACCGTTTCGGGGGCCACATAGGGTCTCTTCCTCAGGGCTGAATGTCTAGAACACACAAAGACTCATACGCTCACATACACACACACACACACACGCTCACAAAGGATGAACTCAATGGACCTGTGTCTTTATTCAAACTCAAATACTATTTAAGTGAAGAACATCATTAAAATTGCTTCCTTGACAACAAGAAATGGTAAAGAAGGTAGGAATGTAAAGTCAGGCTCTGAAATAAAAGTTGCTTAGAGGACAATGCTTACCCTTGATATAATTTTAAACATAGCTAGGAATAAAATATGCCTGTTGGTTGGTAAAAATATTCAAAAATAAACTGGTGTTGAAATGGTATTATTAAAATGTTAAAATAATTGTGTTGCGCTGTGAACCAAAGTGTCACACAAAATATTATGGTGTTGAAATGGTGCTCATCGGTGTAAGGCCTCAATGTGGACCTATACTCAATTGTTAACTTAAAGCTATGCTAAATATTTTTTGGGATAGATGAATAAAAATTGTTAGATGGGTTGAAATGCATACTTTAATAAAGGTTGAACTATTATATGTAAGTCCTGTGGGCCCTTATAAATCAGAAACACGTTTTATGTTAACATCTAAGTGTAGGTCCACTTTAATAAAGTTTGAACTACTATATGTAAGACCCATAGGCCCTTATAAATCAGAAACCTTAAAAGAAACATCAAAGAGGAAATGGCTATATCAGCCAGCTGACAGGTCACTGAAATACTGTTGTGCTCAGGAAAGTAGAAACTGTAGATATGCCAAGGAAATACTGTTGTGTTAATCAAAGAAGAAGCTGCTGTAGATTTATTTTCTGTCATATAAACAATAGCTACATATCCAAATAGTGTATTATAACAAGCTCACTACATCATTCTGCATAGATGAGTCCCAGTGAGAATATACTATTATGTTCCAAACACACAGTGCATTAGTCATTAAACTGCACATGCAAAGTCTGGATTTGGCTTTCTTTCCATGTATATATGCACAATATGTACAATAATAAAACTTTAGTCTTTGCAGATGGGTTTGCATACTCATTAATGCAGGGTGCCCCCAGTAATACCACTCTGTCAGTACAATTATTTACTTGGGAAAATCGATACAACTGCTCTGATTTGTTTTCTGCAGCAGAAGAAATATTCACCTATGTAGTGTTATGTGCAGGAGATGGCATGCTGCAAGGTAAGATTTCTATACTTGGCAGTGGCCCTCCACACATAACATACACCTTTTTTAATGATAATTTACACACCCAGTAAGGTATGTAAATTATCATCTTTTCCTGGAGTGTGGCTTTAAAAGACCTGCTATTTGCAAGCTATATTGGCAAGTTAATAAAAACCTGTACTGCGAGAATGTGGAAACTACAATTGCCGAACTGAAAATTATTGATGTCTTGCTATCATGCTGACCCTGTGGTTTTAATAGTTCCTAACCTGGAACAAGTCTGAAGAGTTTTGACTTCCCTCTGACTTTCTAATTTGACTCGTTCCAGGTCAGTGACTCAGACGGTATTGAAGCCACATATAGCCAACTATGGTAACTAGTATTCTTAGAAGAAAGTCAGTAATGACAACCACTGTATTTTTTTGAGCACCATCAGGTTTCCAGAGGGACTATGACTCATATGCAGCCAAAAATTGCCCAACATGCTGGCATATCTCTAAGATCATTTAGCAGTAGTCCACTCTTCTTCATAATAAGAGGTACAGTCCCTTCATCACACATATGCCACATCTGTAAAACACCTGTATTAGGGATAAACGTTGCAGAGGCTCACAGCACTGCAGCAGAACTCTCATTGCCCTTGGTGGTCATATAACATACCTTGTGTAGTACGAGTCCACTCCTAATGTCTCTCTGACATTTGCTATGTATTGTTCTAGAACTGAACTATTCAATCCTTGAAAACTCATACTTCCAGAGTCAGCAAAATCACCGGTATTTTCCAGTGACGAGTCTCCCAAATAGCATTCATGAAATTTTAAAATTCCTGCAAGAAAAAAAAACTTGTTAAAGTTAAATGCCTGAAGTATTTGCATGAACTAAAATTCTTTGTGATCTCCATTTAAGGAACTGCAGTCTATACAGCAATCTGGCTTGCTGAGTTTCATATCATTTCAGCTTCTCAATAGCCAATGTATACAAAAATTTGGTTTTGATTCCAAGGGAGCATTTTCGTGGAGACTCAGCATTTTAATTCAAGCCACAAACGTTCAGTTCAACTGTTTCAGTTACGAGAGAAAAGGGCATAGAAAGCAATAGTGTCATAATTTAGACACAGATTATCTATAACTTAAAATAGATTTAAACTTATTTTAATAAATATCTGAGAAGAAGCCCAAAATGCATTTTTGTTTTGTATATTATTCACAATGAGGTGTAGTGATAGCTAGAGTAATAAATAATAAAATAAATCTCCTATCTCACCTGAACCAGGAGCTAGCAACCAGCTGTAAAGATAACCAGCAGCTAGTGAGTAGTAGAGCACCAGTCCTCGTTGGCCATTAATTGTCTCCAGGATTTGGTCAATAGTCACAGGAGAGTAGGGATCAGATTCTTGCTGGCCAGTCTGTCGCTCTACAAGAAGGTCAGCGAAAGCCCGTGTTCTTCCTCTCTCTGCAACTGCCAAAGCTTCATCATGATGTCCTGTATAGTGTATAAAATTTGCATAAGCATATATGGTAAACCAATTAAAGTCAACCACCAAAATAATTATGTTAGCTTTGAAAAGAGGCTTATGATAGAGAAAAATAAGTAAAAGGCTACAGTCCTATGAAGCTTGTTCAGCAACTGGTGAATCGCTTACCCACAATACAGACAATGAGATGATTTTGCTGTTATAGAGAGAAAACTGTCTGCCAGTTGTGTTCCCCCATTGTCACCCTGTCACACATGCCCCTGATAGAGACAACAAGCGGCTGTGCTTACATAAATTATGTGGGTGTGGTCCACCACTGTCACTTTCAGGAAGCTGGTCCTGAGCAATGACATCCAGCCAATATATATGTTATATATAAAAAGAGCTGAAAACTGTATTTTATTTTAAAGATGGCAATTGTTTTCAATACATGGTGTTGCCATGTCATTTACTGCAATCCAATAAGGGTTGAAATCTACTTTAAATCTTCCTTCTCACCCACATGTGCTACCACCAAACAACCTAGTCAACCATTTGAAACTTCAAGCAGCAAGTTTTTTTACATACCTATGTAAGTAAAAATGCTATAAAGAATGCAACCTAATCACAATTAAATGCAATACCATGTCAGTAGCCGAAAACAATCTATTAAAGCTTGTTTTGTTGGTCTAAATCTGGTATGAATCAAGTGTTACCATATTTCAAAGAACTTCCCTGGGTTTCTTTCGGTATTTACTGCTGCCTCGAGTCCTTTTATTGAAAAGAAACAGGAGACTTTTCCTATTACTGCTTCCAGATCAGAAGCTACACATATCTGTCTACTTATTCAAGAAAGCTGAAGATCCTTTGAATCCCTATATTTTACATATAATGTAACAGCGTACATTACAAGCTGAAACTCAACATGCAAATATGATGTCTCTACAAAGTTGCTGCTGTATTAAAATGAAAAATGTCTTACTCTGCCTCCTCTGGACACATATATATTTTTCTTTTTCATATTCATGGTATTTCAAATTAATCCCAAGTATTTACACACAGTGGTACTTTTATCATCTGCTTCATCAGTTTCCACATTAAGAGCTTCCTATGATGACTAAACAGTGCTTTTTTCTTTCAGTTTTTTTTTTAAAAAAAGGCCTGGGAGGACATATTCTGGTCAATGTGATGGTTCTTGGTTGCTTGTAAACATTACATGGTTGTACTTTGCAGACTGTCTAAGAACAGATTTCCCCCACTTTGCTTATATTTACTCTCACTTCCTGCTGTGTCTCCCAGACACGAGTTGGTATGCAGAGAGAAAGTATAGGGGTTTCTAACCATTCCTGGCTCTATCACAACAAAAACGTATTGACTTGGGATACACTTTAATGAGTTCATCTCATATGCTTCCTACTGAAACAAGCAGGACATATTTAATTGTACTCAAAAGCATAGTGAACTTTACTATTGCGCAGCACTATTAAAGCACCAAGCAAAACAAGAAAACTGTTGGCGTTATTTACATCCTGTATTATTATAATAATAATACTATTGCAAACGAATTACAGCTATTAGTAGTTAGTCACAATCTAATAGACTTGTTTTGTAATCTGGAAGATGTATCGCTGCCTGTCCAATTTAAAATGTTTTGGTTGTGGCAGGAGAGAGCCTGAAACTGATTTTTGAGCAGCACACACATAATATAACATAATAACAGCAATAACAGAATAAATGACTTTTTTTTCTCTGTACCAGACCTGCTTTCTTATTCATGACATGGACAGAGAAGACAGAATCAGCAGCACTGTAGCAGTCTAAAGGAATAATGGTCCCTGATAATGTGATCTAGGGAAAGGACCACAAAGTCAACTACAGTTATCATTCTTTTGCTGTTAACAACCTCAGCTGAAGACAAATTCAGATTTAATGATTTAAAGGCAGCAATGAGTTACACGTGTATGTCAGGTCCACTTTAACTGTCATGACAACAGTCCATCTCCGCCACCAAATAACACAGCTCCTCTTACCAAGACTGATGAGTACACGCTGCAGAGCCTGGTATGACGAGGTTTGCAGATCGAAGAGAGAAAGCTTATAATCAGTGCTGAGCTGGGCTTCGTGTCTTATTGTTTCAAATAACGCTGAAGCTCGGTAAAGCTGAAACCAGAGAAAACAGTTTGCTCATTAAATATTTGACAACCTGTCTTGTAATTGAAGCCTCCTTGAGGGATTGTGGCTATTTTGGTCACTTCATACCACTTTATTTAAACTGGAATTATGGAAGCTGCGCTAAAGAAAGAGCAGATGCTGTGGTATATTTATTTACAGTGCAAGGTATGTTTTCATTTTATGTATATTGATTATGCTACATTTCTGAAACATAAACCATAAAATGGCAAGAATGTTAAGTGAATATGCACTATTTCTGGCTCCATATTTTCCACTACAGGACAAGAAAAAGATTCAGGGGAACACATGGGCATAGCACGCTGCATGTGGAACACCATACAGGCACTTTTTTTAATGCAGATGATTCTTCTACATTGTTTGCATTGCCATTTCAATCTGAAAATTATTATGCTGGGCCAGAAAACATGTTAATTTTTAATACCTAACCATGATTCAGGGGCATTTTAGCTTGTTTAAAGAACAACTTTATTTTTATTGTGCCTATAATTCCCCCTTACACCTCTCAGTGAAGCCCAGGTAGTAAAATACTTGCCTTCATCCCCGCTCTTGAGTTTTCCAATGTAGTGTCATGCCCAGTGCCGCACAGCCTTTTTAGCAAATATGCCACATCCAACTTCTACAGTGCATGTGTTGTTCTATTTATTCCTGTGGCTGATCATGGCTTATATTACACCAAACGGACCTCTAAATAACGTCTGGTGCATGGTTAAACAGTGGTGTCGTATAAATCCAAAAATTATAAGAAACAGCCAACAGGCCAGTTGTAGATCCACACGAAATGTTTACTGAAGTCCCATATCAGCAAAAGAGATCCATTTCTTTTGCTGATATGGGACTTCAGTAAATCTTTTATCTGAATCTAAAAGTGATGTGCTGACTTTTTTTTTTTTTATTGTTGGTCCATACTCATGCAGCACCTAGCAGAATGGGGTAAGCACATACCTCCCAACTTTCTGAAATGAGAATGAATTATACCTTGTATTCAGGCAATGGACTGCCACGCCTCCCATTTATGCAAAGCATTAAGAATGTATATGCCAAAAATGATTGGTAAAACCAGAATTGTTTTTTTTACCATTACTTTTACTTTACATTGGCTTCTTAAAATAGCAAACAAGACATTTAGGAGATAAGATCAAGGTTTTAGTGCAGAATAACACTTTGTGTAGTTAAATAGAACCTTTTTATAGGTATCTGTACATAAGACCAAAAACCGGGACAACTGAGGAGGAAAGAGGGACAAAGGGATTTGGTTCCAAACTAGGGACAAACCTTAATGTAAATATAATATAATGGTATTATGGTATGTTATGGAAGAGTGACATACATGCACAGTAGGAGCTGGACATGGATGAAAACTTTAACTGCAAAAGCTATATGGTGCTGGGGGATTAAGGGAAATATTTTACTATCTGCACATCACTGAGAGGGAAGGTAAAATGGTAAAAAAAAAAACTTTATTAAAAGTTAAGTTATCCTTTAAGGAAATCCATGCTAATGGAAATATGTATGCTGCCATATGACCTCTCCTGAAAATGCTGACTGCCTGGTTGTCATGCTTTTGTGTCGCTGTTAATTTTTTTCCTGACCCAGCACGACTAAACAGATTAAGAGTCTAACTCCAGTGTGGCTTTCCTATATGCATGTTCATTCCATGTCAGTGATATAGAAAATATTAAAGTGACAGTCAGACAGCTGACATTTTCTAAAGGAGAGGTCCACAATGATAGTCTACATAATTCTCTTGCTACATGTTTCATTTAATATTGCCATCAACTAAGATGTCCCAATAGAGATTGCCCAGAGTAGAAGAAAGCAAGGAGATGAGGGCATGTGCCACTATTCACCCAACACTGAGAAATTAGCTCTAGGAGGACATATTCTGGTCAAGGTAATGGTTGTTGGTTTATTGTAAAAATACACAATTTTTCTTTCAGAGGTCTAACACAACTTTATGATTGTGCATGCTACAAGAAGAAACGTCACACAAATAAAAGTAAATAAAAAGCTATAGCAATTTCAGTGCTATCACTGAAAGTGATATCATCATTATCAACAGGAAGTCATCTATGACCATTCTTAGAGCAAAATAAAAACAAAGCCTAAAAAAACCACTTCATGCATGCCCTCTTAGTGTTATCTTACCTTTACTTTGAATTTCAAACCAGGACAAGGCCTTTTAAAAACTGTTGCTGTACTGTGTCTTTTGGGGTGCTACCTGGCCATTTTAGGTCCTGTTTAATCCAAAAGACTTTCACTAACAGTACTGTGAAGAGGGGAATGCAGAGATTTCACTGAACTGCCCACAGAAGTTGGGAGACTGAAAATGACAGCTACTGTATGCTGATGCTAACACTGAAAACTCTATGTCAAAAAATAATCGTTGGCAGGTACTCCCTTTAATCCCGGAAGAGTTGATAGTATATGCTCAGACACAAAAATTCTGTCTTTTTGACATTTAAATTATTGCTACAATAAAAGATTTATCTTACAATGTGGTACACACACTTTCACTGCGCAGAAAAAAAAAATTCTGATACAACTTGCAGTAAAGAAAAGCAGTAGTGTCCTCTTTCCATTCCAACCCTTCTGAATGGATAGTAAATTAGTACAAGCAAACTGTTGAAGTCATGTCAATATATTTGCAAGCAGTACACCTGATTGGTTTCCAACAGGGTGTACAGTGCTGCTGTACAGGATATTGCAAGAGGCTGATATCATGTCATTTCATTACACTCTTTTATTTAGAAAATGCTGTATTAACGAATACAGACATATTAATTTGTGTCTTCTATATCTGCCTAGAGTTCAGCTTCAAAACTTGCTGTTTGCTATGTTTTTTTTGCTTTGTAGACCAGGGGGAGTGGCAATGCACAAGATACAGAAACTCATGGGAGCGAATTAAATTTTGGATTACTGTAAATAGATAAGTAAAATATTGGTTATTATGGACTACTGATGTTTGCACATCATCACTCCTTATTGAACTAACTTTAAAAATTAGGCTATATCTATTTTGGCTGCATTTGACCATATCTGCAGTTTCTAGCCACATGTATGTACCTACAGTATACCATGCAGTATAAAAAAATAATACATATTTCTCTCATGCATATTTAATAATTAAATGGATACTGACCTGGTGTTGAGCTTCTTCCAGATTTCCACTAGCCCAAAGTGAGAGCCCAAGGCGATGTCTAATTTTGGCTTCATCCTCTCTGCGGGACAGCTGTTCTGCTAACCTCAAGCCTTTGCACAACATAAAAACAGGGAGAATGTAAGGTGATGACTAAATTACTAATTTCCCTTATTGACACACTGCAGACAGCAGCAGATAATTTACCTCTTTCAACAGGCAGCCAATTTTATTATGTTATCATAAGTTGCGCATCCAGAGTGAGAGACATAACTGACATTTTATAGCTATTCTAGATTAATTAGTTCCAAAGATTTAGGCCTGTTTTGATGGGCTTTTGAGTTAGAACTTTCCTCCCCAAACAAATTAGTGGATATGCAAAAGCGATTGAAGTTTTTTGCTGATAGCAGAAATTCTACTGCAGGGCATAAGTAGGATCAGCTGTAGGTCAAATACACCTATCAAGGAACTATAAGTGAGATGAGATGCACCTCAAACTGATGTTAAATGCAAGAAGAATGTACTGGAAAGCACACAGCATTTGCCCATTGACACAAGTCCAAAGCTCTTTGACATATGCTTTTATGGAGCTAGCATTGGGTGATTTACTAAAGGAGTAACACCGGTTCACTTAGCAGTGTATATATTCACTTTCTAAAGTGTATATTCACTTAGATTACTAAATAAGGTGATGCTTTGTTCACTTCAATCATCTAATCATAACCACTCCATCTCAATTACTGAGCTAAGTGAACATTTACTGTTCTCAATTAACAGTCTCTTTGGCACTATGTGTATCAATATTCTCAATACTTCACTTCTTTACTCGTCTGAAACATACATTTCTGGATGGCCCATAGCAAGTCAGAAACTCTCAATTATGTGCACTGAAAAATGAAAGCTGAATTTTGGTTAGTTGCTAAGGGCAATGAGGCTCTCATATCAGTAGTTTTAATGAATACACATTGTTGCTGTTGTTAGAATCCTTAGGCAAGCAAGGTGCAGATATTGTGCAGGATGTTCTTTCCTATAGTATACAATAGTATGGTAACAGTTGCAAGGGGATTTCTTTTTTCCTTTGAACCAAAAACTCCAAGAATTTTAAAAGGTTGAGTGTGATGGACACGAGTCTTAATTTAGCATTATTAATTATGAAACCATGGCATGCTACCATAGTATTAAGTAATATAATATCATGGCAGTTGTTAGCTGTGCAGCAATGGTGTCCTCAGTAAGGATACTATCTATGTGGAGTTTGCATGTTTTCCCTGTGCTTGTGTGGATTTCCCCCCAGGTGCCAAAAAGACACGCTGGTAGGTTAATTGACACCTGTGTAAAAAAACTGGCACTAATATGATATTCTACTGAGTGCACCCAAGATAGTTTCCTCAACATCTGCCCTAACTGCAGAAAAAGTAAAGCAGTTTGAGTCCCCAGGGAGAAAAATGCTGTGGTGCAACTTCTGCCTTGCACTACCTTGAACTTATTGGCTAGCCCTTCTGTCCTAGGTGTGAATCCTGGCCAGGACACTGTCTGCATGAAGTTTACATGTTCTCCCTGTGCCTGCATGTGTGTGTGTGCGTGTGTGCGTGTGTGTGAGTATGCCTCTGAGATAGGCAACTTAGATTGTAAGTTCCTTGACAGCAGTTACTGATACAAATGTATAGTATGTATGGTGCTTCATAAATTGATAAACTACCTGTAATAAATAAATGGTAGAGGTGACAGGCCAATTCTCCAGAACTGAAAATTAAAACAAGGGCATTGCACATTATGTCCTTCTTGAGGAGATTTTCCCTCACTTTCTGACATATCTATGAAACAAAAGGCTAGAGGAAAGCCAATGGGGACACAGGCAGCAGTAAAACAATCTTTTTTTTTCTTGTAGAAAGAGGAGGGGACTTTTAACTATTATCTATGTATCACTGATGTCATCTCAAAAGAGTCGAAGAAAGCAATTAAAGTCCAACTACATCCCAAACTATTCCTTTATTTCAATAGAGAAGAGAACTTCTGTCAAAATGTTATTGCTATGATTCCATTGGGAGATTTATCTGCACTACCTGTCTATTTTTTAGATAGAAAAGAAAGTTAAAAGTCATACAGCAATAAAAACGCATTTTCTAGTAGAGTGGGGAAGAACAATGCTAATAAGAGCGTAGCACAGGCAAAGTGCATAGAAAGTTATGAGCTCAGAATTCTGGCAGGATGCACAGGTAGTTTGTGTACTTATCAAACATATATAACGTGTGATATACTATATATATATAGATATATATAGAGATGTATATCTCTATATATATCTACATATAGATATATATAGAGATATATATCTCTATATATATAATTAAAATGAATGCAAGTTATACTGTATATAGATATAAAATGTATTTTTTCTTGACTTTAACAGCTCAGTACCTGCTAAGTACTTACCTTCTTGTAAATACATTACTGCTTGGGAATAATTCTGTAAAGCATGATGGGTTCTTCCTAAGCTACTATAGGCCACTGTCTTTGCTACCAGGTCATTCATTTCTGCTGCAATGCTAAGGTGCTGTTCCTGATAGACTACAGCTCGTTCAAAGTTACCCAGAGACTCATAAGTAAGTCCCAGATTTCCATAGGCTCGAGCTTGGCAAGATGGATTGTTGGTTTCTTCAGCTATCTGTAAGTCCAGCTGATGGTACTGTAATGCAGTATCAAACTCTCCCATTAGCTGGTAGACGTCACCCAGACCACAGGCTGCATCACTCTCCAGTATCTGGTCTTTCATTTCTCTGGCAATGTTTAGCTGACGTTCTAGGCAGGATATTGCTTGCTCATAGTTTCCTAGCTGACTGTGCAAATTTCCAAGTTCTCCGTATGCCTGGGCTTTGTTTGATGTTTCCCCAAGTTCATGAGCGACCACAAGTCTTTTTTCAAAGCATACAAGTGACTGCTGTAGATTTCCCATAGACCTACAGCAATTAAGAAAAAAAAGTGTTTAAAAATTGAATGTGTCAACATATGAGGCACATACTAAATAATTTTTGCATTACAGAACTAAAAACATTTGACTTTAAAAAGATTGTTGTGTTCTGTGCTCTTAGAAGTGTTGCTAAGAGAAAGTCTTGTTTGTACTGAAAAAATACAATATATGTATTACTTTGTTATCTTAAGTAATGACAAAGTTATCACCAAATCAATAGACCCATAGTTTAAATGAAAAAATCGCACTGGTCCATAAGGGTTATACAAGTGTGAGAACTGAACTGTTTATCTCTGCAGAGCCTCTCCTTCATATAGTTCTGGGTTTTTCAGAAAGATTCTTATGACACTTCCGCTCACTTATAGAGCCATAACATTCAGAAAAGCTTGCAATAGCAGGCACACATGTTGTGAGCTGTTGTGAGGACTCCCTTCTTCTTATAAAAAGAGTACCAATGTTCACTTACCCTCTCTATGCTCCAGTGCTGTCCCCAACCTCCTGCTTGATCCGGCACCAAATGTCCTCTTTGCAAGCTGGGTGGACAATACTTCAGGGCTGAGCGGCACTCTCACGTCATTATGTGAGTCCCTGTCAGTCCTAGAAGAATGTTGCCCTCCCACACCCGTAAAAAAAGGAGAAAAAATTCAGTGATGTAACTGGACTGGCAAAAAGGAAAAAAAGGGTATCCATTGGGTTTTAAAAAAATACCAGGGGGGTGTTCGGCAGGTTGGGGGAGCTGGGTGGAAGGTAACATGACTGGGGTTTTGCTTTAATCACCTTTATCCCCTTAATGGCTACTGTGCCATTAGTAATAACAGCCCCATACTTTTGGAAACACTGCAGTGCATTCCCTAAATCAGAGGCAGTTAATACATTTTTGTCGGGAAACTCGTATATTGTAAATTTGGAAACATATTTCTTTACAATAACTTTCATATAGTATGCCAGTTTTGCTGTGTTTATATTCTCTATTGTTACTCTCTGTGTGCTAGATCTATTGTGAGTATTAACACTGACTCATAATGTAGATGTTTTATCAATCATTTGCAAATATTATTTTACCTATGTCCATTTCCGAGTCCCCTGTATGCTTTGGACTGATCTTGAAGTCGGTTCAAGCTCTGAGCCACAGATAAATACTGCTCATAATATTTTATTGCTTCTTCATAGTCTCCAAGGGCATCATAACAATCTCCCAAATTTCCATATGCACGGCCTCTGTCGAGAATAGAGTCATTTCCATTCAATTGCTGTAGCATGGCTAACTGCTGTTCAAAATAACCAATGGCCTCCTCCATGACATTCATGTTCATTTTCGTGATGCCCATGTTGCCATACACCTGAGCTTCTATTGCAGGGTCTTTAAGCTTTTGTCCCAGCTCAAGCTGTTCCTCATAGCACTTGAAGGCCATAGTGTACTTCTCAAGAGACATGTATACAGCAGCAAGGTGACCATGAGCTCTGCATTCTCCTGGCAATTCATTTAATTCTTGGAAGACTTCAAGCTCCTGCGTATGATATCCCAATGCTTTATCATATTTTTGTATCATTCTGTAAGCACTACCTAAAGCAGCATAAGCACTTGCTTCTAGCCGTCTGTCCTTGACTTGATGAGCTAAACTTAGTTGCTGTTCATAAAATTTTATTGCACCATTTACATCTTTCTTAGCAACAAAAATATCGCCAAGGTTTCCAAGAGCACGGAACTTTGCTTGAGAATTATTCAAAGACTGTGCCAATGACAAAAGGTATTTCTGGCATTCTTCAGCTTTATTATAGTTCAGTAATGCCTTAAATGCTAGGCCCAAGTTACAGTATGCCTTAGCTTGGCTTAGTTTGTCATGGAGATCCTTTGCTAATGCCAAATCCTGTTCATAGTATTTTACAGCATCCTGGTAATTTCCTAAGCAATAATAAGCATAGCCAAGGTTGTGACAAACTTTACCCTCTCCTTCCATATCTTGTAGTTCAGGTGATATTCTCAAGTACTGCTCATAGAAAGGTACTGCTTGCATGTATTCACCTCGGGAGCAGTGGAAATTCCCGAGGTTGCCTAGAGCTCGAGCTTCACTCTGAATGTCTCGTAGTTCCCGAGCAATGTTCAGATGGTTTTGGTAGTGTTGTAAAGCTCTATCATGAGCACCTAAAGCCTGGTATGCAACAGCTAAATTCCCATGTGTAGATGCTTGAGAAGCTCTGTCGTTGACTTCCATTGATATCTGAAGTTCCTGCCGATGATACTTAACAGCCTGGTCGTACATCCCAAGTGCATTGTAGGCATTTCCCATGTTCCCATAAGCCCTGCCTTGGGCTGCATAATCATTTAATTCCTGGGCGATTGAAAGGTGAGCCTTGTGTAATTTTAGTGCAGTATCAAAGTCTCCTTTCATCTGATGAATTATTCCTGTAAAGCAAAGCAACAAAACATTGATTTTAACTTAGCATATTTAATTACAGGAGAAATCATTTGTGACATCGTTTTTACATATGAGAAAAATGTGTAAAATTATTATTTTATTGTTCCCTTGAAACACATTCTGAAAGAACAATTTGTCTTACTCAGATTTGCTCCATCTAGATACTTAACTATCTCTCTGAATTTCAGTCCAAAAATCTATCAAATGCATAATTCAATTTATTTAAGAATGCTGCAGAGTGCATGTGATCTATTTCGGAATGTGTTCATCTGTACCAAAAATTTTTACAAGTGCAGCATACTTAAGAAATTAACACACTGTCAAAGCAGAGTGATTATTATGAAGAAAAAAAACCTGACATTTTTAGTATCAGCACAAAATAAGGACCCGGTTGAACTTTTGCATTGACAACTGGCAGCTGGCAATTTCCAGAAAATCTGATATGACAGAAATTGTATATAAGCTTGTGTGATTGGCTTAGCAGTATTTTCCTTTCACTATATTACTGCGACCTGGATATAGGTATTGCACCTACAATGCTATACCAAGTCTGTAGAGTTGCCATATTACTCTTTCATGCTTAAAAAGTTATAATCACATAATATGAACTGCAGTGGTTTTTATGTCAAGACAACTTTCTACTCCCATTCCAGTATCGACAATTATGTAATGAATGTGACATTTTCTAACGTAAATTGGGTTGATTTACTAAAGGAGTGGCTAATGTTCATTCAGAAGCATAAATGTACTCAGTTATGGAAATCCTTTTTTCTTGCACTACTAGTAACTCAACCCCAATGTATTAGTTCCTTAGGAGTTAATGTTGGTAATGAGAAATTATAACACAATCAGGCTTATTTATTATGTCAATGAACAGTGTTTAAATAACAGCAAATTTTAGTAGCCAATTAGCAATGATCTTTCTACCTTGTTTATTGTTCTGATTGCTCTAAACCACTGAAAACTTGCATATAATTGGTTGTTATGGCTTATTCCACTTATGCTGTTACATCATTTGTATGTAACACGGTAAAAAAAACAGCATCAATAGTTAGTAAACATGTCAGGGAAGGCCTACAGACATACCAACATTTATCCAATCAAAAATGGCTGAATCAGGAAAACAAGCAGTGTTGTGATGGGTCACCTACACTACATACAGCATTTTGACTTATTCATTAACTGTCATGGTGCTCGTAGTGATAACACGGATGGCGCCTTGGTTCCCAGAGTTATGGAAAATGAAAGTCACCAGCACTCAACTTGAAAGTGTGAAGTGTTTTTGCTTTTTTACTAAAGTAACATGTCACAAGTGTCGTTCAGCTAATGTATCGAGGCCACGCAGGGTCCCTTCTTCAGGGCGACATAGTGACCGAACCAAATCACCCAAAGCAGTAAACGTCTGCATAGGAGGTATTATTTACTGTGTTTATGTTGCTTTTTAATGTAATTATGGCCTAGGTGAGTCCTTTCTTTAATGTGACATACTAGAGCTTTTTTTTTTTAATCCTTATTTTGGTATGGTACAGAAATCAGCTTCATGCTTTGAAAATGTCAAATTTTTCAAGGACTATAGCTAGGTATTACACTGTGTTTATGTGGCTTTTTAATGTAATTATGGCCTAGGTGAGTCCTTTCTTTAATGTGACATACTAGAGCTTTTTTTTTTAATCCTTATTTTGGTATGGTACAGAAATCTGCTTCATGCTTTGAAAATGTCACATTTTTCAAGGACTATAGCTTTGTATTCTGCACTACAGTTCATATTCACATGAAACAATATTAAAGACTTAACACTATATTTCTGTCCAGTAATACTTTTCTTTGAGTAAACGTGCCTTTTAAACCAAGTATTTAAATATGGACACTACTCTAAACATTAAATCTAGAACCTTTTGGACATATGGTATTGATTGCAGTTATGAAACATGTACGAGGTGTACTGTAGACTTTTGGTGAATCATCTTCTATGCTCTCTATTTCTGAATCACTCTTCATGTTTTCATGCTACTAAAAGCCCTTCTCTAGAAGACGGTTCCACTTATGTTAATCGGATTGCAAATACGTTATTTTGAATCTCATCTATAACACTCTTTCCTAGACTTCTTTAGTTTGTCAAATGCAGTGATGTAATTAATGATTCCTAATGCAATCTCTGTAAATCAAAAGATGTCACAATTATGATTCCCAGGTAAATAAACACTGAGTTAAATATTTCTACAGGCAAAGCCTGACTGTCCAGGGAGTGCAGGAGAACCCTTGTAGAGCCAGAAATCATTTAGAATAAATCATGAAAAGTAATTAGATTGTTTTCCCAGGAGCCTCGAGATCTTCTATAAAAAAAAGAATTAGACATTAGAATATATTTAGCAGAAATGCCATATGATCAAAAGTCAGTGTGGCATATTTTACCATGAGTATCTGTACAAAAGGATGTCCCTTTGTACACATCTGACTGTACATAACAGCATGGTGGGAAGTAGTCTGCACTTAACCCAACAAACAAGTCCAGCACTTGGTCTGCTCCTGATGACTGCTGCTAAAGCCTGAAGATCCAAATGTAGGAGAAAAAGGAGAGTGGGATATCCCTTCCCTGACTTATCCAGCTGTGTATGCTCAGATATGTATTCACAGCACCTCTGTAAACCAGCTGACTACATGAAATATTAATTTTCAATATTTTACGTTTACCCAGAAAATAAAACATTTATAATGTTTTATAGTTTTTTAGTTCTGAATATTTTATGGAAGTTAAAAAAAATATAGAAAAAAGCTATAAATTGTCTCAAATGACTTCTATTTTTGCCTATGCTCAAGAAAATCAAAGCCAAAGGTCATCAATGTGATGGTCAAGGTTAACGATACAAGCAGAACCAAAAAGTGCAGTACAGGATTTCCAGGCTTACTTGTAATGACACAATGATAACTTCAATTGCCTTACAGCTGCCTTTGGTGAACATTTGTAAGAAACCCGGACAGTTAAAATGAGATGGACATGTTGTGCACGGGCTGCCCTCTGGCCTGCTAAAACTTTGCCAGATGTACCGTGTGCAAAATTGCACACCAGACAGAAAACTGGACTGCAAATACACTAGAACTCCCCAAGAAGAGAACTGAATTTCAGGCAGATATTAAAAATGCCATGTAACCCAGGTGTGTATTATTAAAAACAAATCATTTGGCCCTCTGTAATTCCATGTACAGAAACACTAAATAGTCCTAAAGAGGGAGGTCAGCACTCTGAACCAGTTGGGGCTATACTGCTTTTTGCTGTGAATCACACAGGGATCTTGCTTAAAGGATATTCTAGATCAGTGGTTCTCAACCTGTGTAACCTCAGGACCCACATTTGGCCTTGGTCATTAAGTCGCAACCCAAGTCACGCTGCAATGGAACGCATGGCATTAGAGTGCCGCACGTTCTGGGGCGGGCGTACAAACTGTGGGTGGGAGGTGCATTTTGGGTTTGGCAACGCAACACACCTCCCACACCAGAATGCACAGTAGGTGCGATTGCGTGATACAGTGCATTTATCGCATGGTACTATGTGATTAACGCACTGTACTAGTGTGAATGGACCCTCAAAACACGGACATAATCTCACACACACACACAGACATTCTCACACATACACACTCCAAAACATTTTATTTTTTTTAAGGTCCACCCAGTCTGGAGTGGATCCTTAGTCTGGGGTCCAATGTGGGCTGATGTGCAGTGATGAAGCTCCATCCATATGTGCATTACTTGTACAACTCCCTTGCGTGCCCTGTAGAGGTGTCGGGAGTACAAATTGTGACATCACTCCGGTCCAGGCACCTCTATAGGACACGTGAGGGAGCTGTAAGCAATGCACAAATGGATGGAGCTCCCTCTAGGCCTAGCCCATCCCACCTTAAACTGACACTCAGCACCAGGCAGCATATTTTGAATGGCTGCCCGGTGCAAGAACTGACAGTGCTGCACTAGAAAAGTGGAAGGCATGCGGCAACCCAGTGAACACAGGGTCGCGACCCACTTTTGGGTCACGACCCACCAGTTGAGAACCAAGGTTCTAGATAAACATGAAAAAGAGATCAGCTTTCTATAAACAATATAATACATTTCTTTTAACCCTTTCGCTGCCAAGGACGTATGGCATACGGACCTACAAAAAAAATATTTTTTTTTATGCACGGATACTGATTTTGGTGTGTTTTAACAATTGAATTGTGTATTTTTATCGGTTTAATATTAATTTGAGAAACATTTGCGCAATTATCGCAGGGCCTACAAATTTAGTATCACCATCTTTTTATTCTACCGGGCCTGCGCTTTCAGAAAATATATGGTTTGGGGGGTCATTTACAAATGCTAGCAACGCAGCAGTTGAAAATCAAATCAATAGGAAAAAATTGCAGAAAATTCAAAAATGGCTTGGCCAGCTGATTTGAAAAATGTTCCAGAGGGCTTGGCAGCGAAAGGGTTAATGCAGTATATAAACTTTTTTTTCCATTGATGATATATGATGATATATGCACACATTTATATTTGTGTGTTACATGTGATGGCTCTGCTTCTTACTTTGCACTGCTACAAAATAGTATTTTTTTTACTGACAACCTTTATATCCTTTTGGTCAGCTCTACTGTGCATATCTTTATGCAGCTCAGCTGTCTTGCTCTGTCCCCCAACATGCACGAACAAAGGAATTTTATTGCAACTCCTGTGCTTCAGGCTGTAGCAGCCTACTACACAGCCCAATCAAAGTTGTTTCCATTTCTATCGATCTATTCATATACATGTGTTCATCATACAAGCTGTGCATAGGGTGTTTTAGCTGGGCACAGTCCTTTAAATACTTCAAAGCATATGACTAACATTAAAGTGTATGACTAGCACCTTCCAAAAGTAAGGTGAATACAGTGTTGCATGTATAAATGGACATCAGCTGGACACAATCCTCTGACTGTATTCAAACGCCTACCCAACAGCATAGTGTAAAACT